GGTGTTGTTAAAACTGTTGCATTTGGGCTTGCATGGCTCGCATGCATTGCATCAAGTCATCAAACTGGTTCTGGCTGGTTGCCAAAGGGACAACGGTCGGTTCGGCGAAGGTTGTCTCAATAGAGGGGGGAAGGGGAACATTCATAGGCGCCACTAGGGATTCTGTCCGCCGAGAGGGGGACGGTGAACTGTCCGATGCATACAATGGCGGGCTGAGGGTGTTCCCCTACAGCATTCAGGTCGGCATTACGTCTATCACTACCGGAGGAAGTCATGAATGCTAAGTTTCTTTTGGAAGAGAGTTAAAGGTTGGGGGAGGCTTTTTGAAGCGTTCCCACAGACGACGCCAATTGATGATGCACGATTCGGTCGGTCTTATCTGACGGTAACCTTGCCTCTGACGGAGCTGAAGATGCCTGAAACAAGGAAGAAATAAGAGATTTTCAGGGAGGAACCCGGTGGGGATACTCCGAAGCTCAAGTTAATACTCTTGAGAAGGCAAGGAAAATAAGGGATTTTAAGACCAGAAAGCACAAATATCGCATACCTCTTTTCTTGGGGGAAGAAAGTCTTTTATAACCACCTAGTGCATTCACTTCCAAGCTTCTGCCAGGTCAGGTGTAACCGCCTCTGTGGGGGGCAGACATAACTGCCACTGTCCTCTTTGTCAGGGTCGTCCCTGCAACAACTGAGATGGCGGTAGCAGGTGGCCGTTACAGTGTGATTATCATCTGTCTGATCCTGTCCAGTCAAGCGTGCTACCTCAGAGTACGGACCTGTCAGGCACGTTTTTACAGTTGCACGACCTGGGACCGAGGTGCCGGAGTGGTGCACGAGGTGAAGTCTTGAGTTCGGATGAGAGTATGGCCCACTGTCCCGAGGTGTCGGGGTGTGGCCCGAACTGACCCGAGGTGGGCTAGTCCGAGCTTTGCCCCTTGCGGATTTCCTTGTTAGCCTCGGGGTTCTTAGGGAGAGCTTCGGGTTTCCCCTCTCGGGAAGTGTGGGTTCCTTTTGGGGAGCTCAAGCCTCTTCTTGGGGAGCTCAAGAAGCTCGGGCCTCTTCTTGGGGATCTCAGGAAGCTCGGGCCTCTTCTTGGAGAGCTCGGGAAGCTCGGGCCTCTTCTTGGGATATGGTTGTTGCTATGTCACTGTGTCGAGCTGGCGTTCCTACCAGGTCACACCCGGTTTCTTCCACGTGTCGCACAGCCAAGGGGTCGGGCCAAATCTACCTCCATCAGTATGTATGTATGTATTAATAATATATATATATAGTAAGAATTTAATTGACATTTTATGTATGTATTAATAATACTCTTCTTGGAATATGTATGTATGTATTAATTGACATTTTAATTTACAGTTGAGAATTTAATATTTGGTTGACTTTTTGTTAAAGTAAGAAAGTAAAATAACAAAACAGAAAATAATTGATATAATAATCAAAATATAATAGGTGTTTATGTTTTGGATCTTGGACTCTTGATCCCACTATATTAATTGTAATATATTTTTTCATATATATCATTAAAATATACATTTTTAATGTATTTATATATTATTTATGGCTATTTAACCTTTAATTTAGTAATTTAGTGTTATTAATATATTTATGAAATTTGTATGTGTTTCCTTAATATATCCAATCATTTCCATATTTTTCATCAATATCCATGCATCTCTAAAGTGTATTTGTATTCAAATTGTTTGATATAGTAATTGATATTGATACTTTGATCCTTGTTAGAGATGTGATTATATAATGATTTCTTGGATTCCAACTACTTTCACTCTTCTACCTAAGGGTGTCAATGGACCGGTCTTGGATTGGACCCCGTCCAGTCCAAAATCAATTTGGACAGATTGGATGGACCAACAAGATATATTGGATTGGACCAATCCAGTCCAAAATATTTATTAGATTGGATCAGACCTGACCCGTCCATACCAAATTTATATTGAGTTGGGTTGGATTAAGCCAATATCTAGTCCATTGATATAAGATAAGAATATATGCATCAATGGACTGGGTTTGGGTTGAAACCAATCTAAATCAAAATAAATTTGTACAGATTGGATGGTCCAGACATTGAATTGGACCGGTCCAAATTGATCCAAAACATTCATTAGATTGGATTGGACCTGGTCCATTTATAATGGACTCACATTAGACTGGATCGGATTGGACCAAATCCAGTCCAATTGACACCCCCTACTTCGACCCAATGCCAACCAAAACCTCACCCGAGCCAAACCTCAGACTCTCAGAATCCTACAAAGTACAAACCACCACCTCCTACAGTAACGTTTAACTTTCAGATGAGATTTCTTTTCCTATTTCTTTGTTTTTTTTTCTACCAAATTTCTAGTCGCTGCAATCCAACTTTCCTAATTTGTTTCCAATTACAAAAAGTTAAAACTCCCTTATGGAGAAAATTATATCCTTCGTTGAAGGAGGAAGTTCAATGAAGTGCTCAGAAGGATGTTTCAGCGAAGCTAAACTCACAATTTTGTGATACTTCCCACAATTTTTTGAAATTTTCAAAAAAAATGCAAAACTCAGAGCTGTGTGTGTGTGCGTGTACACTGTTTTTTGTGCGTTTCTGTTTTCCCCTATTATTTTACCACATGACCAATCACTACACTCCAACGGTCACTTGGTTTCCTATTCTCTTTTTCATTTCAAAACCATTACCACTTGAACTTCTTTCCTCTCTCTCTCTCTCTTATCTCAGTCTCATAGCAATTGGACCCATTATGCCATACAGAGAAAACGGTTTATAGTAACAGTAGTAGTTGTTGTAGTAGTAATTAGACCTGTTCACGGTCCAGGCTTTAGGCCCACCTTTACCCTGTTTCAGGCTCAGACTTCCGGCTGGGCTCATTCAAATTATGGCAAAAGACAAGTACAAGCCCATGAACAGATCAAGTAGTAGTTAGGGGTGCAAATCAGGCAGGCTGGGCAGGATTTATAGTCAACTCAGGCCGATGCCTAAAATTTAGGCCCAAGGCCTGTAGTTCAAGTCTGATCTTTTCAACTCAGGCCCAACATGTCTTGAAATTTAATGTACAGGTTGGACTTGGGCTGTTGGGCCTGGGCTATTGAACTCCTACATTTAAGCAAATATGTATGCATATATGTATGTATGTAAATATAAAACAGCACTCCAGATCTCCAATGGGCACTTGTCCTGTATCCATGTAAAATAAAGTAAGCAGGTGAATTCCTACCTAATAACGCACTCAAGATCTGATAATAATGGTGGTCTTAGGAATTCTCCAACGGTTGACGCATTTCAGATCTAGTATTAACATTGATATTAATAATTGACTTCAATTTTGACTTGTAAAATATTAAAAGAAAAAATACTTTCCTTTTTCTCACGAACCCAATCCCAAACTGCACATCCTATCCGATGTTCCTTCCGTCCTTCCCATCCCCAATTCACTCACAAACCAGAAAATAATCGACATCACATGGGAGCCTAGAGAAAGTGAAGTACCAAGACCCAAATAGAAAGAAAAAATCAACAAAAATTATAATTCAATGTTTGAGATGCCATGACCCTAGACCTGGCAATTGAGTTGGGTGGGTCAGGTTAGGGTTGGGTCAAGACACTTTGAATTGATTTTGGGTCAGGTTGAACTTCGGGTTGTGTTGTCAAATGTTAGACCTTAACTCTAAATGTTCAGGTTAAGGTTGACCCATGGGTCAATTCAGGTCATCCTAAAAAATAATTGAAATTTAAAAAATAAAGAAAAAAATACATAAAAATACCAAAATTAAAGAAATTAACCTTAAAATACCAAAAATAAAATAAAATAACTTAAACATTTAACAATTCAAAGAGTAAATAATAGAATAACGATTAAATAGTAAAAATTAAAGAGTGAAAACTTCTAACAATGTATAAATAATCCCAATTAGGCCTAACAATTGGGTCATGGGTCAGCGGATTAAACCATGACCCAACCCAACCCAGTTTTCTCCATGCCGGGTCGGGTCAGGTCATTCTCAAATTCAGGTAGCTAGTAAGGGTATTCACAAGAAGAATCAAACCGACCAAACCAATCCGATCCAACCCGATCTGGTCAATTTCTCAAAACTTTTGGTCGGTCTCAGTTTTTAAATATAAACAACCCGACTAGTCGGATTGGTTTCGGTTTTTCAATCTGAAAACTGAAAACTGAAACCAACCCAAACCGAACCGACTATGGATAGTAGAAGTCTGATACTTCTGGTTTTGGTATAGAAACAATGGGACTCTCCACTTTTAAGACTAATGTAAAAAAAGTAATAATTAAAGTGGAGTCCAAACTATTTATATTTGTAAAAAGTATCAGACTTCTACTATCCATAGTCGGTTCGGTTCGGATTGGTTTCAGTATTCAGATTGAAAAACCAAAACCAACCCGACCAGTCTGATTATTTATATTTAAAAACCGAGACCGACCAAAAGTTGAGATACCAACCAGATCGGGTTGGATCAGATCAGTTTGGTCGGTTTGATTCTTGTGAACACCCCTAATTCCAGTGATGATCTCTCGTACAAGTGAGGAGTTGCAGTCTTGCAGAGAGAGGGAAGAATTAGAAACGAGGTAGAGGAACATAAAAGAGAATATGGCTTTTGGATTTGGCTTTGTTCGTGGGAAATAGGAAAGCTTTTTTTTTCAAATATTTCACCTGTAAAAATTGAACCAAATCTAACAGCTCCCTTGAAGGGATGGGAGGCACGCCAAGAGAGATTAACAGGAATTCTTAATCAAATAGAAGTAGCACCATGGGGACCCAAGACAAGATCACACACGGCATCTGCCACCCACAAATTGTTCCCACATCCTACCCCAGTCAGAACATCACCGCCGTGTATTGGTAAATCTCCCATGAATGACAGAAAGAGAGAGGTACTCCCATTGCGCAGCCTGTAATGGGCCGTGGGTATGGGTAGGGATGTGGGAACAGACTGGGTAGAAGATCCGAGATCATTAACGGAGGAGACGGTGTCACCCGAATTGGCTCCAAAACTTATTTATAAAGAGAAAAACAAAAAGATGTCCAACTCGTTAATGGAGTTGGGAGTACATAAATGTAGGTGAAACAGGCCCCGCTCACATGGACGGATCAGTTAACTGTTACATAGCAGCAGTTACATTATTAAAACATGAAGGCCTGTTAAGGTGTTCAATATCAATTAGGTAAGAAGACATTCGAATCTCATCTGCAGTTTTTACACCCCCCACCCAACCCCAACAAGGGATATCGCCGGAGTACGAAAACACCAGGCCATTCAATTCGTCAAAAATGCCAGCTCTTAAGAAAATCTGCCAACCATCGTTTCTTTACCTCTTTTCGCCCAAAAGGAAAAAGCAAGCAGCACCACCTAACCCGACTTTGACTCTGGACCTATGTTGTATGTAATGTAGACCACCCCCAACTACCCATTTCAGTTGTGGGCGGCCACCAATGCCATGTGCTCAATCAGGTCCAACACTCGGTTGCTGCACAATGAATCACACAAGTTTCAGACATCGAAATTGTGAATGTGTATGTGTGTGCACGCGTGACAGAGAGAGAGAGAGAGAGAGAGAGTACCTGTAACCCCATTCGTTGTCGTACCATGAAACAAGCTTCATGAAGGAAGCACTCAATCCTATGCCTGCCTTTGCATCAAATATACTTGATCTGAAAAATAATGACGCCAGAAAATCGTAGTAAAATCAACAAAAAGTCGATAAGCAAAAGTGGCAGGATAGAATGCCCAGACAAAAGACCAAATGACACAGATTGATCTCAATGGACCTAAAGAAAACATGCATTCACCATATCCCCCACTAGTGGAGCAAAAGGAAAAAAGAATCATAGTTTATCGAACACCTAATGCAGATACATGTCAATCATTTCTGTACAGAAGTATGAACTAGGCACATGGTAGCGAATTATGTTATTCAATATACGTTCCACAGTCAAACTCATTTAGTTATGGCCATTTGCGCCACTTACCACCATTAGAGAATTTCTAAAGCATACTTTTGTATTGCTCAAAATGGGAGGGAGAAGCTACCAAAAATGACTATCTTTCTCTATAAAATCTCAGAATATAATACCTCAGATATTATTTCTATCCTTCTACAATGAAAACTTTTCCAACATTTTGCAAACATTCAAAAAAGTCAGTAATGTTTCTAGATATATTTTACAAAACATCAAAAAAGTCATTTATTTAGTATACTTAAAACAATTGGGACCAAATTGGGTGTCTATATAATATTGCAAATTCCACACAAATCCATCAGCCAAATGATCTTAACAGCAATTGTCAATGAATTAATAAAACAGACAACCAAATAATCATTTTAATACAGCTAAGACTAGAGTACAATGACCGGTGAGACGGGGCATATTGATGGATATAGATATACACTTCCAAAGAAACTTTAAATCCTTTACAGCTTACGGATTGCATGTCAAAAGGAGACAATACCTGTACTAGTTTGGGTTTTTTTTAATTCAGCTAAGCAAATAGGGCTGTAAATTAGGGGGACGCCCATCCTCCAAACACTACAAAACCCCTGATCCCAGTGCATGAGAAGGTAAGTAGTATGTGGATGTGGGTTGGGTTCAACCAGGCTAAATCTTGTGGACTAGCGCATAAAGTGGCAAGACAACCTGATTCATAGCTTCTAGACATGGGAATCCAAGGAAAAATCTACAACATATTTGAACCTAGATGACAGGGCAGACGATGAAAATGCATAAAGAGTGCAACCTACCTTGAGTCACCAACAAAATCATTAGAGACAACATCTTCTTCAGTGTATCCAAGAATTCCCTTCAGTGGCCCCTCTGATGCATACCTGAGCAAAGATTTTTAAGGTTGGTTAACTGTCTACTTACAGGAAAAAATGTGTAACAATTAAAACAATCAAAGACAATGACCAAGTTATTGAAAATAATTGAAGTGGTAGCCAACATACTTTATGGCTGCTTTGACATCTTCATAAGAAGAACTCTTCTCAAGTCGACAGGTTAGGTCCACAACAGAAACATTTGGTGTTGGGATGCGGAAGGCCATTCCAGTAAGCTTGCCATTGAGATCTGGAAGAACTTTGCCAACAGCCTATAATCCCAGAAGCAAGTCATATTCCCATAGGCGAGACTGAACATTTTCAGGTTATTTCAAGACATACCTTTGCTGCTCCAGTCGAACTGGGGATGATATTTTGCCCAGCTCCACGGCCCCCTCGCCAGTCCTTCATTGAAGGACCATCTACAGTCTTCTGGGTTGCTGAAGATGAAAACATATGTGTTACCATAGTAATTTCTGTACAGTACTAATGAGTGGATAGACAATAAAATTATGCATATAAGATGTTTTCCGGGTAATGCATGGGATTGTAAGCCTCTGCACTTGTGTGCTTAGACCAGTGTGTGCATGTATCTGTGAGTGTACATGCATGCATTCTGTCAAAAATGTGTGTGTGGGTGGGTGGGTGGGTGGGAAGAAGAGAGAGAGAGAGAGAGAGAGAGACCTGTAGTTGCATGGACTGTTGTCATTAAACCTTCAACAATACCAAACTCTTCATGGACCACCTACAATATGCAATTAACATACATTACACTTCTAAGTTAATGGCATGCTTTACACAACAAGCAACAATCACAAGAGATTTTGTAGATCAGAATAACCGTGACACAGAGGATCATAACAGACAGTTTTGCAAATGAAAGTTCCAGAGAAACAGTAGAGCAAATCCTAACCAAGTTTATTTTAGTTAACCCAATTGTACAGAAAAGAGATCCAAAATACTTGGTGTCTAATCACACCTTGGCAAGAGGAGCAAGACAATTTGTCGTACAGCTGGCATTAGAAACAATGTCCATGTTGGATTTGTACGTCTTCTCATTTACTCCAACCACAAACATAGGTGCATCAGCTGATGGAGCCGATATGACCACCTTCTTGGCACCACCCTGAGGAAACAGAAAGAAAGAAATATTATCCAGTTTTTGTTTTGTTAGGTCACTAAAAGAACTTACCATAAGCAGAAGAACCTAAATCAGATCATAACCAACCTTCATGTGAGCTGATGCCTTTTGCAGTGTTGTAAAAACCCCAGAAGATTCAACAACATAGTCAGCCCCGTAATCACCCCAAGGGATCTCTGCTGGATCTCTGAAAAGAGAACATGTAGATATTGATACCCCATAACTAATCTAGGTACAGAAAGATAAGCATACATTTTCTTTGGTAACAATAAGCATACAAATAACTACTGCATAACTGACACAAAAGCTGTTCATCTAGTATCAGGAAAAAATTAAAAAAAAAAAACAAATAATGATAAATAGAAAACACTGTTGCATAAAGCACTACCTTTTGCACGTTATTTTAATTTGTTTTCCATTGATTTCCAAAGTGGAATCATCTACAACCCTGATGGTTCCCTTGAAAACACCATGTGTTGAGTCATACTTGAACATGTAAGCCTGGAAAGGAGAAAGAGAGAAGATGCATTGTAAAATCTAAAGGTGAAACTAAAAGCCCTAAATAGAGTGCCCAAGTCAAAACCTCAAATCTAAAAAATAACTTTGAGCAGCAACCTATGTATACGCAAAAAAAAAAAATGTTAAAGAGAAACAAAATACATGAGGCAACTTACTTCTAAAATATTACCATAAAGAAATTGGATGGATATAGACACAGGTCCAAAAACACATGCCAATTTTATATTGCACTCATAATCAAAACAGAGGACCTACCCCATGTAGTTGGGACAAGACTTAGATGATGATGATGATGATGATCAAATCAAGGACACTCAGTAATATGCAATACCTAGTACACAAGTTACAATTACCAAACAATACAATTCTTGATTTGAATTATGAATCCCAAGGATTCCAATATAAATACTACGATCTATAAATCTTACAACTGGAATAGAATCATATGGGACAATAATTTTTGTAGTATAACACATTTTATAAAGCTCACACATCTATGATATATACTGATATACATCATGTAATTGTTTTTGCTTAAGGGAAGCTCTCCCTGCTTTAATACAAATTCATTTTACCTTTCAAGAAACTTATTGTCAATTAATTTGACAATGAGTTCTCCTTGTCATTTCTTTGTTTCTATTTAGTTTTCTCAAGGGAGACTTGTTATAAAAATAGATTATTTAGGTTATTCCTTTTTTTGAAAAGTAAAAAGAAATTGGAGCTGATTACAAACATCATCAAGGTGTTAAGATAAAACCCACCTAACAGAACAACAAAGAAATTCAATGATTACAAAACAAAGAGAGAGCAAAAGAGAACCCCTCGAACAATAAATAATCTAAACCTACCATATATAGGTTAAAGGGCCATTAAATATGGATTATTTGACCCTACCCTTAGTCTAAACCTACCAATATATATATACCTAAAGTAATAGAGTTTGCCGCTTGTCGCTTGTATGATTTGTAAGCATAGGATTCAAAATATCATAAGATAAAAGGATTCAGGCATAGGATTCAAATAGAAACCCTTGGATTCATTATTCAAATCGTTAACCATAAGAATTTAACAGCACTTCCACAAAGGTATTCTCCCAGCCAAACGTTGTTCTAAACACTTCATTTTACTAAATATACTAGTAAAAGATTTCTTTCGTTTTTTTTGGGTGAAAAGGGTTCATAAATGCAAAATCATCATCTATGTACATGTTTAGGCTGTGTTTGGTTTGAAAGAAAATAAGAGAGAAGCAGAAAGTTGAGGGGAAAGACCTTGGGGAATTCCACAAATTTTGTGAAGAATTTCCCTCGATTTTGTGTCTCTCTCTTATTTTCTTTCAAACCAAACATGGTCAAGGATCAAAATTTTGACTCGATATGTATCGGGCTTATCTTTTGGGTTCCAAAACACCTGTTTGCATGTGTTTCAGGAACCCCCTTTTTGGTTTGAAAGAAAATAAGAGAGAAGCAGAAAGTTGAGGGAAAGCCCTTGGGGAATTCCACAAATTTTGTGAAGAATTTCCCTCGATTTTGTGTCTCTCTCTTATTTTCTTTCAAACCAAACATGGTCAAGGATCAAAATTTTGACTCGATACGTATCGGGCTTATCTTTTGGGTTCCAAAACACCTGTTTGCATGTGTTTCAGGAACCCCCTTTTTAATAATATATATATATATATATAAACCTACCCAAAAACTAATTTTTGAAAAATAAAAATAAAACTTGCTTTTTAGTTCGATACACCTCTGCCAATAAACAGGGGCAATACTTCGAACCTTGAACATAGCCTTAAAGAAAGCCTAATTCCACCAGCACCATGAAAAGCAAGAACAAAATAACAACTCGCACTTCCTTACCATGTACTTTGCATCAATAAAAGGATCATTGACTGCTACCACCTCGATATCATCCCTAGATGAAGCTACACGTAAAACTAATCTTCCAATCCGACCAAAACCTGCATAGAGGATAAAACATTTATCAATAAATGTCCATAATCACCTCCTCAGAAACCAACTTCATCATACAAGGATAAAAGCCAAACTCATATACCAAGGAGCTAAAAAGTGGTGAAAAGAAAAAGTTCATCAACATCGACAAAGACCACTTAATCCTAAAGCCTTACTAGAAAGAAAAACAGATGAGAACAAAACAAAATATGAGAACCATAACCAAGTAACAGTTCTTGTATAAAAGTCAACATATTCAAGAAGAAATTTCAATGAAAAAAGATGTGGACAAAGAAACGTAAAATAAAAGGAGAAATAGCTCAAATCAAATGCAAATAATAGACAATATTAAAGCATAAAAATTCATACCATTGATTCCAATCCTTGTCTTGCCTCCGCTCCGTGATTCTAAATAAAGTAAAAACAAATTAAAATGAGAGTCAGAAAATGCAACACATTGTCAAACATAAAAAAATTAATAAGCAATATTCCTTCATAAATAGATCTTACTTTGAATTGCAGGAGGTATCTCGGTAGCCGTTGCTCTGATAGGCTGTATACTTCTGACACTGCATTTCCTGTCAGGGCCGGTTGGAAAGAAAGGTCTTAGCATTAAATTACAACATGAGTGAACAGCTCTCTTGTACCCCGAAGAAAAAGAAAATGGAACCATTAATACTTAACTGTAGAGAAGAAGATTCACCAGGAACTGCAGTACCAAAAAGGCTTGTTTGAATTCTAGCGGAATTCAGATTGCGATTAACACCAGCACAAGACACCTGGAGTGGAGGAAAGCACGGAAATAACATATATGTATAGAAAATAGAGATATCAGAAGAAATCTGATCCGCTTATGGATTTTTTTACGCCAATCTGCTTATGGATTAATAAAGACTAATCCGAAACTCACAGATAGACCGGGATTCAAGGGAAAAAAAAAAAAAAAAAAACGAAAGCACTTCAATCATAACGTAAGAAAGGGAAGAACGATGATCAGATATACCCAAACATTTTACAAAAAATGAAAAATGTATAGATCATTTTCACTTTAAAATTAAAATCCTTGGAAAAACAGAGGCAAAGACTCCTATCGACAAAAAGAAAAATATATATATAAGCGTAAAGCCAAAAAAAGACGGCATTTCTCACAAGAACAACAACAGTATACAACGACAATAGCCAAATGGAATCAAGTAAGAAGAAAGAAAAACTGAAAAAATCCAACCCTCACCTGGCCAGGGGCCCGAGCTCTGCAATCAATCTGCGAAACCTCGCAGAGAGATCCTTGGGTAACAGGAGTCACAGATCTGATGAGAGTCGAGAACGCCATCACGAATCAACCTTCGCTCCCGAGACCGACTGTAGAAGCCGAAACCCTAAAGAGGAAAGAAATTCAGAGGCGAGAGCAAAGAGACCGAGACGACCATCGAGAAATGCTTTTTAAATAGGCATAGTGTGCGCCGTGACGGAGCTCCGTATGACGCTTGCTTTCACGAGAGAGAGAGAGAGACTATGCCTATGAAGGGTTAGGTACGTAAGAAAGAACCTTTCAGGCTCTCGCTCCGTTTCTCTCGTACAGTATTTTGTCTGTTTGTGATGAGCTGGCGCACTGTGACAAGGCTTCTGATACCCACGTCACACTTTTTTAGATATTTCTCTCTCTCCACGTTCGGTGGGGCTACGTACGGCATTTAGGGTTTTCGTTTTCCCTCTGCTAGTCTGCTCTACAACGCACTGTCCAGTTGTCAACGCCACAGTTCCTTACCGTCGTGAGAGCTCGTGCCGCATGTGAACCGGTCCCACCTAAAACCATTCTAGCCATCTGATGAAGCTAGAAGCGGACCAACACGCGAGAAAAATGGGTCCCATTTTGGACATTCCACGTGTCAACCTCTGTTTCCGTGGCTCAACGGTCTTATTATTCTTCTGGAATATTCGGAGGGGTGCGTGGTGGAGACGCAGGCGCTCTCACGGTCACGGTCGTGAGAGTTCTATGTTAGATGGGGAGGCGGAACATAGGAAGTAGGAATACCGAACACGTGGTTCCGAAATAAAGGTACCAACTTGGCTTGCCAGAGATTTGAGACATGTGACTCAAACAGGAAGATTTCTCGGCGCGGCTTAATACAGTAGCACAATGGATTTTATCATTTTAGCCGTTGGATGTCATGATCAACTTATCGAACAATTTTCCATAATTCGCATAAGGACGAAAGAGCAATAATGCCGTGCAGTAGTATCATCTGAATTTTAGGCCGTCGAACCAACCTTAAATGGGCCCCACCTTCAATTAAAGATCTGGTTGGTGGGGGTAGTGTAATAGAGACGGGATCTGCTCCACACTAATGGGCGCCTCACATGCATATCCACTTGGGAACATCTCCTATGAATAAGAATTAGTAAGTACGGAAAATGTTCCCAATGCATAGGCCCAATTTGGCCAACATACACCCAGTTTTTATTTTAACACAAATGGGCTAGAAGGCTCCATACAACTTACATTTCACCTTATATTGGTAACATCTTTCATGAAATAAAATATATTAAGGCTCTCTTTGGTCTTTGGGATCGGATGAGAAAAAGAGAATATTACAAAAATATTTGTTTTGAGGGAAAGAAAGGGATGGGATAAGAAAAAAGTGAGATGAGAGATCTCAAAATTGTGGATTCAGGGTTGCACCTCCCGGTGGGAAAACTTGAGTTACGATCTCCCTTCTCCCTTCCTCCTCTCGTAAGGCGGCAACAATGTCAGAGCATGACCATGTCGGTGGGATCGTCGTTGTTAGAATTAGAAGAGCACGACCATGTCGAAGGCGGCAGCGACGATGACATCAACGTCATCAATCGCAACCATTCGAAAGTTCAAGTAATAACTTTCAGGAAGATCATTCGAGACGAAGAAGAAGAAGTTACAATGGCAATCAACATCGTCGATCGTGACCATTCGAAAGTTCAGGTAATAATGTCGCCGATAGTGACCATTCGATATCGACATCAGTGCAGCCTCAAGGCCATACAAGTTACAGTGGCAATAGGGAATAAACAAAGAGGTTGAAACGAGAAAAAAAAAAGAAGAAAAAAAAGAAGAAGAGAAGAGAAAGAGAGTGGAAGAGGTGGGAAATGAAGGGGGTAGCCATTGCGACTCGCCTCTGTTCGTCTTGAACGAAGGAGGAAGGTGAATGGTGCCATTTCAGAGGTGAGAGATGAAGGGGGTAGCCGTCGCCTAACTCGCCTATGTTCGTCTTGAACAAAGGAGGAAGGTGAACAATGCCATTTTGGTCCCCTTTTATACTTTCCCATCCCATCCCATTCCAATAAAACCAAACAATGGAAAGTTAAATTTTTACACTTTCCCATCCCACCCAAATCTTTTCACAAACCAAACAAAGCCTAATAAGGGAGATGGGGGCTGACTGGCTGAGATGTGGTGTGATGTTGGTGTGAGGAGCAGCATATCGGTATTCTTAACAATGATTGTGTGAGGAACATATTGTATTCTTAATCTTAACAATGATCGTGTTTGCAGTCGTTTATAAAGGCATTTTTGCGTATATTCTTGGAAAATATATGCTCTACTTTCCCTTAGAAATTTTAGTGGATCCTAAACTCCTAATGCAAAATTGGATTCAATGATCATAAGATCGTCCACGGCTGCAATCATCACAAAATTGGTCTTTTAAAAATTTTAGTGTTCAAGGTCACTTGTAGCTGTGCATTAGGAATATCTTCCCATGATAAAAATATATAAATAGAGAGAGGTTTTTGATGCACGGCTGCAAAAGGTTATGAGCACGGTGTGAAAATGGTTTGTGAGGACTGAATCCAATCTCTAACTATGTTACATTATTCTTGGATTTCCACACTTTGTTACTGTTCTCAAATGTGTAAATTCATAAAATACCCAAAAAAAATTATAAATTCATAAAGATCTATAACGTTGTTTGAACAAAAAAAACTCCATTCTTATTTTACTTTTTTTTTTTTTAGCTTTAACTTTTTCTAGCCATTTCAAATCACACCAGATGCCTTCGTTTTTTTGGGGTATTTTTGGTATTGAATCATCACCTTTCGCCCTCCATACGGGTTCGGATTTTCATTTTTCTTAGCATAGTACAGCATTTTTCTAACAATAATAACTATTCTCAAAGGTGTGACGGTAGGAACCGATAACAGGCTCGGGCTTAAAATCACATCATTTCTGGGACTACCAAGGCTACGTACCAACGGCCAATGCTCGTATGAAAACTACTGTTTTCAAAACCGGATTGGACCGAATGGTCGGACCGGAAAAATAGGAACCGGCCACTTGATCGGTTCTGTTTTCCTTCAAAACTGTTTTTGGCCCTAAAATCGTAATTTTGGTCAGTAAACCGTTGAATCGGCCAGTTAATTGTTTAAACCGTTTGAACGGTTTTGACTGTTTTCTAATTTTTTAATTTTTTGTAAATTTTTTTATTTTTTTGTTAGAACAGACCGGCCATTCAGATTGAATGATCAGACTATTTGAACCGGTAACTAGACCCCTAACCAATTCGATCACTGATTCATTTTTAAAAACCATGATAAAAACGGTATCACAATTTAGCCTTTTAATGGAATGGGATGGAATGGAAAAGATTTTAGCACATGGACCTAAAATTGGATGGTGGATGGTGGATGGTGGATGGTTAAGAAGATAAGATCAATGACCTGATGAACCCTTTTGTATGAGAGCTGCAGTTTATTGATGGTGATAGATCTCACATGCATAGGAGGAAATAAAGAAGGCAGAAAGTGTGTTTTTACTTTTACCTTTAGCTTATTTTAATTGTAATTTGAGAGTGACTCTTGGGATTCATGAGACCAGAGAAGTGGGAAGTGGGACAAGAGATTGAATAAAATAGAGAATGAATGTCAATGTATGTAGCAAATAATCATACAGAAAGAGATTTGATTAGCAACAAGCTAATATTGTTGATTAGTTGTCATTGTCTGTTTTTTTAAATAAAAAAGAGCAATTTTTTTCAACCGTCTAGTATAATGAGATTCGTGTGATGCGACGCACGCATTAGTATAAAACAATTAATAAAATATAAAGAAAACAATAATGAGTAAATAAATAAGTGGTAGTTAAATAAAATAAAAGCTTGAGTGAATTTAATATTAATTTATTTATTTTGTATGAAACTCCAACCGTATGTACTTGATATAAGAAAGATGGGTTTTACAACTAATGTTCCTGATTCCTTTTATGTAACCAGAAGATGCAAAATTAAATCCTTTTTATAATTGAAAAAAAAAAGGCAATAATAAGTTTGAATTTAGGGAGTGAGAACATCCAACCTACCTAAGGGCATGCATATAGAACCAAGTCAACCACCCAAAAGCTTTAACATGACAACCTGTTTTAAGCTCACTTAACCCCTCCGTCCACCGAAATCCAAATTTATTTTTATAGAGCTTTCTTCGCCATGGATGGCAATTTTCTCCACTTCCGACGGTAATCCGATTTTTTCGATCCGATGAAGTCGAGGATGGGGATTGTATTTGGTGGAGTGAAGACGGAATAGGAATTAATAGAAATCTCCGATGGTGACTCGACTTTCTTAATCTAATGGAGTCGGGATGGAGATTGTTTTGGTGGAGTGAAAATGGAATAGGAATTAATAGAAATCCCCGATCAGGATCGGGGTCGGGGATGGGGATTGAGGTTCTCGCCCTGCCCTATATATATATATATAGAGAGAGAGAGAGAGAGAGAGATTAAATGTTATTTATATTAAATATATATTATATTATTTCTATATATTAAGATATATTTAAAACATTATTTATAACTTAAATAATTTATTTATTTTAAGTAAATTTATTTTTCAAAAAAATACTACTATCTAAAAAATCAGAGATTCGGGTACCCACGAGGAACCCATCCCGTCGGGGATCAGATGGAGGACAAATTTTATCCCCGACGGGGATCGGGGACAGAGATGAGGGTTAATTTCAAAATTAGGGTCAAGGACAGGGAATATGATCCCCGCCCCATTGCCATTCCTATTCCTCACACCAACCTTACTACACTATGCATGCTGTGTCAACTGTAGCCCATGGGTCCGTAGCAGGTCGTGCTCGGCCCACTTGATGAACTAGCGATTGGGGGTCCTCAACGGCTAGTTTTAGCTTTTTGGGGTTTTTTTATAAAAATACCCCAAACAACTATACATAATTATATAGGGGGTATTTATATATTTTGGTTTTGGGGGGAGAAAGAATGACACAAATGCCCCCCAACAGCTATACAATAGCTAGTTTGGGGGGGCATTTTGGATAAAGTGATAAATAACTTTACAATATTTTTTGGATACTTAATAGTTGTATAGCATTTTTTTCAAATTATTGTAAATTTTGTTTTAATTTTATTTAATTTATTTGATATTTTTAATAACATGATTTTTTATTTTCAATTTGTAATTATAATGTATTTTTATATTTTATTCCATTTTCCAATTTTCATGTTTTTCATTCATCCAACCATTATATGCTTTGTATCATTCAAATTTAAATGAAATAAAATTCCTATTTTTTTCTAATTTGTTATTCACTTTAAATTTTTGTCTCTTTGACTTCTTATTTGATTAAGTATTTTTTGTTTCATTTCTTTGTTAGAATTCTTATTTTTTCAAATAATTCTCAAAGGAAAGTTAAATATTTTAATTTTACTTAACAAAGAAATAAAAAGACAACAAATGTCAAAAAAACAAAAAAAAAAGACAGTTAACCCAATTTGGCCCACACCCAAGGCCCGGCTTGTGGCCTAGCCCAGCATGACCTGCGACACAACACGGGCCCACACGGGCTTAGGATGTGGGTCTTGCCAGGCCAACCCCCCAAACTATCCCTGGGAGAGTGGCATTTCCCAAGACGGCCCGCGAGCCGTAGGCGGGTGTTTTACACCTCTACCCTTCTTTGAGAAAATCTCTCATACATGTATCTTGTCATTTATATAGAGATGTTTCGAATGCAGGGCTACGATGTTCCATGAGGATGGTGTGAAGAGAACTTTGTGAGGAACAAATTCAAGTTCAACCCCACCAACCTCTTTTGCCCAGTAGAAAAAGAATTGAAAAAACGACCAACCTCCTATCTTTGATTTAGAAAATCTTGTGTCATTCTACCAAAAAAAGGCATATCTGGGTCAGTGATGCACTCCATGACACTCGTGTCATTCCAACTTGTTCACGAGAAATTTTACCCAAATGATTCATTGACTTTTGGGGCATACATGTTTGATTAATTAAATCTACATCAGCCCTTCTCCTTTCTCCCACACCCCTCAATTTTCTGTATTTTTTTTATTTTTAAAACATAAAAGTAATTAACAAAAAGGCATTAATAACTAAATTGTTATTAATTGCAAGAGATCTTTGGAATTTAATTTCACTAATCGAAATGTATATTAATTATCTCTTTATTTTTTTTTATTATTATTATTTATGCTTAATTATATTAGAATTTTTATTTAATATAAAAAAATAAATATAAATATCAATTAATTTGACAAACTCATTATTATCTTAATGCACGCCTTCATCCTTTCACCTCGGCCTCGTCTCCCAAGAAAAAATTTGAATTGCAGTGGCTTCTGCTTATCCCATACAAGTTGTAATTTGTTGAATTGCTTTCATAGTGCTAAGTTCATACATATATAGATAGTGGAGGGGGCCATGACCATATTCAAGAATGGGCAGATCATAAGTCTTAGCATTGTTTTTTCTATATCCTATTTCTTAAAATGGTAATTTTTAACTGTTCACCGTGAGTATGTTTTAAGCCAATGTAAAGCATGAGTAGGTGATATAGGTATGCTATTGGAAATCCTACAGTGTTTCAATTGTATTTGTTTTCTCTGCAAAACCGAATATATTTGATCCTAACCCAACCCTATATCAAGCTGGATTTAGCATTTAACCCGACCTATTGGCATCTCCACACACACCCTCAAATACATTCACGGTTGATTCATTGAGATCCAAACGCACTCATGAAAATGGTGAATTCAAAACTGAACCGCTTTCTGCATGATGGGCGGCTCAACAAATTTGCATTTGTCTCAATACATCCCCGCTTTGTACTCTTACCAAACGCAGCCTATATTGAGTGGATTCTTGGGTCCATAAAGTACAACTATTCAAAATCAAGCTTCATTAAATAAATAGATATATAATAATAAATATCAGTGATACGTGAGCACTTGATCAAAAGCTGAAAGCCGCTAAGGTTATGTTTAGTTTGAAGAAAAAGGTAGGGAAAGGAAGGAAAAAATTAAAAAAAAAAAAAAAACTTTAACAAACTTGTATAGATTTCCTTACCTTTTCCTTCCTTTCTTCACCAGAATGTAAGCAATCATAAATACGGGTGCAAATTGGGCTGGTTTAGGTTGGGTTGAAGTCAACCCTAACCCAGCTCAAGTTGTTGAACCCTCAACCCCATAACTTCATGCTCGGTTAGAATCAGGTTGAGCTTGGGTTGGTCTCGAATTGGCCTGACTTCTCTATTTTCTTTTAACCAATGTACTTATTTCCTAGATCTCAAGGGTTCATGTGAGTTCAATATTGGCACTACTATGTATAAAGGAACATAGTTATCATGGTTTAGAAAAAAATTGCCTTTAAACTTAAAATTCTGACATACAATACACATGCATACATGTAGAGATAAATGTATATATACATAAATACTTGAATAAAAAAAATACATAAATATATACATTTATGGGTGCACGGTTGCATATGCATAAATAGTGAATATGCTAGGGATAGCAATTTTCCCCATTTTCTCGATTCCAATGGAAATCTGTCCTGAATGGGATGGGAATGGAGATGATTTTTCATCCTTGTTGGGGATAGGGCAGGAATGGGGAGAACACTCCCTGCCCCCAGGGTCCTCAATCCCCACCCCACCCCATAAGTATAACTTCAAACTAGAGATATTTAGGATTTTAATAAATGGGTTTTAGGCCTTAAAGTCCAAAACTTGGGATTTATGATAAGTATTTCTGTTTTTCTCATGAATTAATAAATGGATTTGTGTTAATATTTTTTAAAATATGATTGAACATGTTTGACTATATTCGGGTCTATTTTGATAGGACTATAAATCATAACTATTTTGTTTTTAATTTTTTTTTGGAATGGAATAGAAAAAAATAAAGTGAACTTGACATCATAAAAATGGTGGGGAGCGAGATCCCTGGTAAGATGGATATCCCTTGTGGAGACGAGGATGGGAAATCTCTGTCCTCGTCGGTGGGTACTGGGATGGGGATGGGTTTTTTTTTTATGGGGACAGGAATGGAGTGGCTCCTCCTCCCTGCCCCACACTGTTGCCATTTTTAGAATACATATATGCACAAGTACTTACATGCATAAATACATATTCACATAGTATTAATACATGAGAATATTATGTCGGGTTCAAAACTTCAAATTGGGTCAGATTGGTCAAAACCTCAACCCTAGCACTACCCAAAGTTAAGCCAGTTCATACTTTTCAACCCAACCCAAGTTTTTTCTGACTGGGTTCAGCTTAACCCGGCCCAAGTTGCTGCCCTGGTCGTAGAGAAGGCTATTTGGCGCCAGAGCAAGAACTGCCTAGAGTGAAACCACCTAGACATCGGCTTTGAAAGCATGGTGCTATGTTATAATCCTAAATATTAAAAAGCATGGCTTGAGGCGTTCCAATAGTCTCTAAAGGTTCTGGCCTCAATGTAAAACTCACAAATAACCAGAATTCAACTTGATTATATCTATAGAAGAATGATTTGAAGGCATGCGTCCTTAACCAAGGATAGGATATAAACTCACTTCCCACCTTAATTTTCTGTTATATTAAAATGGAGTCCATATCATTTCTTCTATTTTACTCCTAAAAAACAAAAATAATAGTATAAAGTAAAACTGAACCAAACGTAACCGAAATCACTTACACTACAAAACAAATGGAGCTTAAATGATTTAAAATGATCATTACCCATCACTCTGATATATTAATTTGGCTTTGACAGGGTTTTGCTAGGAGAGGAAAAAAATTCAACATGCCATCTTTGGGACCGGCGGACTGAGATTGGAATGACAAACAAGTTTCATGTAACCGACTCCATATAGCTGAGACAAGGATGATGACAATAATTGTACCTTTGGCCTTTATAAATGTTCTTGATAAAGAAAATGACTTCTGAATGATTTTTATCAAAAGAACTCAATTCTACTGTTCAGACAGATGTGCTTCCATATCGGATGTACAAGCCAAATGTTGCAGAAGTTTAGCTAAGTGTATCCATGGATGAGAATAAACCGAGCAAGTATGAACCCATTCATTACTCATGTTTGTACAGAATCAACCATGGCTTTCAAAATGGACCGGACCAGAAAAACCGAAAACCGGTCACCTGACCGGTTCTGTTTTTTCCCAAAACCGTTTTTTTCCCCAAAATCGTTGATTTTGGCCAGCAAACTGCTGAACCGGCCGGTTAATCATTTGAACCGTTCAAACGATTTTGACATTTTTCAGTTTTTTTTATTTTTTTGTCAAAACGGGCCGGCCATTAACCAAACCCCTGACCGGTTCGGTTTTAAAAACTATGGAATCAACAACTGTAACACTTCAACACATGAACCAAACAAGATTATGCTTAGGGGTGTTCATTATACGGTTTAAACCGTAAAATCAAACCAAATTTGTGGTTTGATTCGATTTATACCTATAAATGGTTCCGTTCGGGTTGAAGAATTTTCTAAATTGCAATTTATGATTTTGGTTTGATTTATTGAATTTTATAAATCAAATCAAATCGTAAACCGTAAACCAAAATTTTATATACATATATATAATATGAATATATGATATATAAATTTTATATATAATATATCTAAATAGAATGCATAAAATTATAAATATATAATGAACTCTTTATTTTATAATAAAATAATAAATAAAAGTTTTTAAGTTTTAATTTTTAGGAGAGTTACTTAGGCTTTCTAATTGGGTTAAAAGCCCAAAAGAACTATAAAATGGTCCAAAGTCCCCAAACCGTATTAGAAACCGCACCAAACCATAATAAAACAGTTTGGTTTAATTTGATTTCTATACCAAAACGGTTTGGCTCGGCTTAAAAATTTCTCAAACCGTAATTTACTGATCTGGTCTGAAATATTCTCCAAAACGCACCCAACCAAACTATGAACACCCCTAATATGCTAGAAATAGCCACTAGCCACACAACCAACAAATGGGATGTTGTGTGGCTGTTTTGCCCTAAACAGAAACGATATAACCCACTAGTCAGTACTCAGTAGTCACTATGTTTGGCTTGTACATCTGATTTGCACCATCTGTTGCAATTCTCCTTTTCATCAATGTAGCAAGAGTAACATGCAATAAGTGCAGGGTAAACATATTTAAATTTTTGCAGAATTTGGCTTGTACGTCCGATTTGGATCAACAAGGATAAGTACAACCAATTAAATTATGCTGGAAGCAAATTTTTTTTTGGAAGGTCCATTAAAATATCTCAGGGTTTCTACAATCAAAGGCAGATCACATACTCCTGCCCATTTCCATCCTTCACAGAACTCTTTCAGCCCTTTTATTTGACCCAGAAGGGAACTCAAATGTGATGGTAAGAGCATTATTTTTCGGTCACCTAGTGTCTGAAGTGTCGCACATTTGTGAAAAGGAGAGAAACCCCGTACTTGTTGCAACAATCTATGGCATCCCCATCTCTGATGCTCCCACCTGGTTCTGCAATAACACCAATCCCATTCTGGCATGCTTCTTCCACTGCATCATTCCAAGCTGCCACATATTAACAGTCACAAGGTCAGAAATTGGTTCAAAACATAATTCAGTGCTTTTATGCACCTACATAAATGTGCACAAGGAATGCTGTACATTGCACATCCACCAAAATTTATCAGCTACTTTTTTTGAATTTCTCAACTAGTTTATGGAACCTTCAATTTAGAGTAGCTAAGCAATTTTAATACAAAAGCACAGTGGTCGGGTAAAGAATTTTCTGATTTTTTTATGCAATTCTTACATTTTTAGATAACAGGGGTATTTGGGCCATTTTTACATGTTAAAATAACATAGAAATTATTTCTGAGTCATGTTATGATAGTGGTAATTCTGCAATTTCCTTTTTTCTAAGTTTTAGTAGGATTGGACACTCACAAATTCATCGTTTAAGAAGTTCACTCAACATCCCTAAAAGATAAAATTGATCTGGTTACATTTTTTTATCAGCAACAGAAAACATAGCTTTATTAATTAGAAGAATAATTTACAACATCTTGAGTAGCCTTGGCTACCCCAGAAAATCTTAGAACAACATCCAGTTACATTTTTATTTAATTTACATTAAAACTTGAAATTTTCCTATTTCAGCCATTTTCTTCCTTGTGTCAAACCATCTCTGAATGCTCTCATATTAGGTTGCTGCCTGTAAGTTTTCATCACCCTTCATCTTACCTTTTTTTTGGATTGGAAATGGTGACTTTCATTAATTTAGAAAAAAACACAATACAACTGTCAATCACCCAGAACAGTGTTGGGATTTGGGTTTTAGAAGGGGCATTAGGGAGAAGTCCATAATGTTTCAGCTCTAATTCAGATCTTGGGAGGGGTGGTTTTGGATCCGGGGAGAAGGGATAGCAGGATATGGACCTTGACCACCTCTGGTGTGTTTTCATGTGCCTCTTTTTCCAAAGCCTTGGTGCATCCTTCTGATAGCCTGGGGAATAATTTTCCAGTCTTTGAAGTTTGGGGTAAACCGATTCCTCCTAGGTTGGGGATTTTTGTTGGGAAGGTATAACAGTTATAACTGGTGCTTACCTCCCAACTGGTGTATGCTTTGTAAGGCTAATGGTGAAAACTGCTATCACTTATTAATATCTTGCCCTTTGTTTCAGATATTTGGATTTGGTTTTTCCCGTTGTTTGATTGCAGGTGACCCCCCCTCCCCCCCCCCCCCTAAATGTACAAAACTTGTTTGCCTCTTTTGGCTTCAGATGGCCAGAGAAGAGGGGTAAAAATCTATGAATATGTGTTAGGGCTGCAATATGCTGGACAATTTGGGAAGAAAGGAACTGAAGAATTTTTTTCTGACAAGGAAAGGAGTAAGGAGGCTGTTATTGAAGCAGTTACTATTAGAGTGATAAGTAGGTGCAGTCTCTAAGAATGTTTAAAGGTGTTTCCACAGATAAGATCAGAAGGAATTGGAAGGATGTGGCTGATTCAGCCCCTGCAAAAACCAAGGTTATTCCCCTTTGGTCTCCACCAGCTTCTGGGTTCGTTAAACTTGACTTTGATGGAAGTAGTGAAAGTAACCTGGGGCCATCTAGCATGGCAGAACCTTTAGCGATGAACAGGAAAAGGTCATTGCTCTATTTTCTGGTACTATTGGTATAAGTGACTCACTTCGGGCTGAGATCTTGGCAGTGATAGAAGGAATGAAGAAGGCCAAGGAGTTGAATTGTCACAAGCTTATTGTTGAAAGGGATTCAAAACTGGTTGTTGGCTGGCTGCAGAAAGAGAGAAATGCCAACTCCTTTGCGGATACTCTTGCTAAGCAAGGGGTGGGAAGAGAGCAAATGTTCTGGGCTATGTTGTAAATTCTTTTTTGTTTTCCCTAGGGGAGGGTCAAGAGGGTTTACCTCTCCCCTTCTTTCCTTGTAATCACTTCTTTAATTCTTAATGAAAGTTTTCTGTTTTTGATCAAAAAAAACACCCAAAGCAGTGGTGTTGACCCCACAAAATGTCTCAAAGTTACAAAACAGCCCAAAACAAATTGTCCCTGAATATCCCTTGCTTTGCCAAGGTATTGGCTAATCCATTAGCTGACCTTCTAATCCACTTGATATACCCCAACCTCCCTTGCTATGCAATTGATTTCCCTCCCAAACTGTCTCTGTGTCCAGACCCCCATGCTTTTTGACTGCATCCAACCAATTAACAGCTTAGAGTCCCCTAACCTATGTGACTTCATTCTACCAAATTTCACCCAAAAACTCCATCTAAATCCTTAGTTTCCAAAATTTTAACATTTTTTTTCATGAAGGGGAGTTTCCTCATTTTGTAGAAAACCTGCTCAAAATGCTTTCAAATTAAACCACCCCATGGAACCCATCAACTCAAACACCTCTACAATGCCTTACCAAAAAAATTTAACCCTGCACAGTTTTTGAATTTTCTATTGCTCATAATCCAATTTGCGATTTAACCTAAAACCTTTTCAACCTCTAATAATTTTCTTCTTTTGATTGGTAACTAAACCCTAATAATATTTTCCTTTAGTCCTAAGGTTATCTCTAAACCCTTCTTAGCCCATCTTTATCCTCCCAGACTCATCTTTGGATCACATTGATCCTACATTTTGTATCAATATGGTCATTCCTACATCAATTTGGCACTGGAAAAGTCAAATCTACATCAAATATCCAATAATTTGAATGGTCTAACTTTGGATGAAGTAGCAAACCAATGTTTCAAAGTATTTTACTCATCAAAAAATGTTCCAAAGTTTTTTTTTTTTTGATAAATAATGTTCAAAAGTATTCAACAGGTTATTTTAATGGTCTGAGTATTCTACTCTGCTTTTTGTAATTGTGGTCAACCTTGGTGATTCATTCATTCATCATTATCATCTAAGCCTTATCCCAGCCATATGGGATTCGTCAACATGAATCCTGTTTTGCCATTCCATTCTGTTTAGTGCCATATCCATTGTAAATTATGAGTGCTTAAATCATTAGTTACTACTTCAACCCATGTCCTTTTTGGTCTGCCCCTAGTTCTTCTAGGACCTTCAACTTGCAACAGATCACTTCTTACAGGTGCTGCAGATGGTCTTCTATTGGTGATTGATTGATTTAAATAAATAAATAGATAAAACACATTGTTTAGGTTCATACTTTGGTGAAAAATCTGGTATATAGCAAATTCAAGGTCATCGTAGTGATTGATTTAGAGATGGAGAAAAAAACATTGAATAAAGACCATGCATTAACATGAGACAGACCATAAACAGTTAAAAATACACGTAAAAAAAATCAAATGTGTAGGAACATGATTAAATCAATTTAGGCTGTGTTTATAAAAGGTAGGAAAACCTGTACAAACCTTTTACAGGTTTCCCTACCTTTACTTTCAAACTAAACAGACTTAAGGATAGCAGTTAGCACTATGAGAATCAATCTATTACCAAATGGGAAGAAAGCATCACTGGCCAACGCTGCTCCTTTGGCATCTTCTCCTGCTTTTCTGAAAGCTATCCGAAGACTCTCCAAGCGGTTTGGCTGGCCGCTCCCCATCCCTAACATACAGTTATTCTGTAGATGAAAGAAATGTATTATGAAAGGTCAGATATCTTTATAATCTCCCTCTTTCAAGCTGTGAAAGAGAAAGGTGGCACTGCTCATTCTTTGCATACGGTATCAAAGGTTAGAGTTAAGAAAATTCAAACCTTAGCTATTACAATAGCATTGCTCTTTACATGCTTGACACATAACCATGCAAACTCTGCATCATGAAGCTCGCTTTCTTGTGGAGATTTCTCTGAGACTACATTAAATTGTATGTCTTCAGGGATTAAATCATCGGAGTCCTGGGCTAGCCAGCCTCCACCAACTTGTCTAAGTGAGAGTTTTCCTTTCTCATTCTTTTTTGCCTCAAGAATCCTCAGAGTCTTTGACTTGCCACGGAGGATCTCAAGACCCTTCTTTGAGTACTTAGGTGCAACCACTATCTCATAAAACATCCGTGTTTCACCATCAGTTGGGCTTCTAAATTCTCTGATTTCTTTTGCAAGAGCCTGCAAATATAGCAACATGAAAAACTCAATGTACAAAGCAGAAATTGTCTGTTAGATAATTCTGTTTCGAATTATCGGTAACTCACCTCATCAACTTCTACATTGAAGGCCACTATCCCACCAAATGCACTTACTGGGTCTGCTTTCACAGCAAGCCTATATGCTTCAAGGATATCATCCCGTGAAGCAACACCACAAGGATTTGTATGCTTAACAACTACACATGTAGGGTTTTTAAATTCACAGACACAGTTCCAAGCTGCATCGGCATCTAGATAGTTATTATAAGACATCTCCTGTTCAAGGAAGAAATAGATATAAATAGGTATCCATAAGGATACAACAACAGTATATAAAACAGCAAAGCAGACTTACAAATGTAACCATAACTGTTGACAAGACAGAACAACACCAAAATAGGAAAATGCAAAGAGAAAAATCAAAGTCACCATCAAAGAGTTTATCTTACTTAGAAATTACAAAAACACAACCCTGAAAACCAGGTTGATAAGATGTAACAACTAACCAACATAGTGCACTCACTATAAGAGCCAATATAATGTATCTAACATGCTTCAACACTATCATAATCTACTTAGCAAAAGGAATTATTTAATTGAAACAAGATAATCTAATTTTTGTCATTTGCCAAGTAATTGAATCATTTAAGTAGCAATACAGTTGAATGCTTATGCCAGCACTACAAAAGTGAAAGTTGCTCTTGATACCTCTACTCTTTCTTACCAGCTTCTTTTTCTTTTATTAGTAGTAAGATAAGATTTCAATAAAGAAAGAAAGATTTTTATGGCAATATAAAAGGAGGCAAAGGGATTTCACAAAAAAAAGGAAAAAATAACTAATTAACTACATCAAATACATATCTTATCAATATTAGCTACAAAATTTGTCAAATTTCCCTCAAGACCACCAATTTTCTGTTTCATGTAGGCATCCATCAATCAAATTAAGAATATTCCAAAGTACAAGTTGATTCACCCAGTGAAAAAGCTTTGGTTTAATATTCTGTTAAGAACTTGATATCATAACTATCCTGAAGAGAAGTTAGAAAGAGAACATCCTTAGGCTTTCTTATTTCCTACAACTTTGAAAATCACCTTACACTCATCATAATACACAATCATAGGGAAAGCCACTATGAGGGGAAAAAGGCAAACTTCTTAAACAGAAAATACTAAATCATGTTATCAGGCATATACCACATATTCAAAAATAGTAATAAAATATATCAATGGAATCAGAGAATGATGAGCGTATTTTAAAATGTGAATACAAATATTAGTTAATTCAGAGAATGAGCCTGGCTACGAAAGTCATGAAATCTCCTCACCTTTCCATGGTGCTGTATAGCAGTAGCAATACCACCAGTGTTAACCTCAGAAAGACTCTTGTCAACATAAAATGCAGCTTTCTGATGAGGATTTTCACCATAACGAAGAGAACTTTTCAGAGAGAGAGGGACTGTTAAACTGGGAGGAAATTTATCTTCCAACCAAAGTAAATTAAAAATAATTAGCTCAATTTTTTATCAGTAAAAACAACTAGCAGACTTAGTCTACAAAAAAAGGGAAAGAAAAAAAGGAAGAGTTTGAGGTATAATTGGGCAGACAAAAATGAGAAAAAGGAAAGGCAAGAAAGAATCCAAGTTTTACCTCCAACGGTCTGCTTCCACATCCACTCAGAAACTGCAGAATCATAAGAAGCAACATGCTGAAAGGCCTTCCAAGCAAGTTTCCTGCGGAATTGTTGGTCATCTTGGTTTCCTTTCAGAAATTCCAAAAGTGCAGGATAGTCACTTGAGTCAACGACCACCAAAACATCCTTGTGATTCTGTTGAAAATAAATACATTAAAGAATTGACATCAAAAACTAGGAGGATAGTATAGACTACATAGTATAAATATGTACAATCCATTTTGCAGATGGTTGAACACATCAACATGGACTCCATCTTGATGAGCGTCAACTAGGAGATCTTGCCCCAAAATCAACCTGATAGAATAAATCTAACCTTCTGGAAAATACAGTCCAGGAATTCCTACTTGTAAAATGGACCATTGAGTTTTGTTGGTTAAGGAGTGGGTGATTTATCAGTTATAGAGCATATATGTCGTGCCTATAGGAAAATTCATAGATCATTAACTTAGCTCTCCAATATAATGTCATTATTGTGTCTCGGAAAACAACCTTTGCAGCGGCTCTGATCATGGTAGGGCCACCAATGTCAATGTTTTCTATTCCATCCTCAAATGATATTCCACCAGCAGCAGAAACCTTGTCATAAAAAGGATACAGGTTCACCACCACTACATCGAATGTCCCTGTAAAGTAAACAGTGTCAACAATAAAATTAGTAATCTGACATGCACATACGTACTAGATCCAATCTACCAAGAAAAAGAATTATAGGACATTGACATGTTTCTCTGCAAGCCTTTATAGGTAGGCACAATATGCAGAGAGTACTAAAAGTAAAACTAGAACTCACCAATCCCATGCTCATTTAGAGCTTCCATGTGATGCTTTTGGTCTCTTCTAGCAAGAATACCCCCATGAATATTAGGATGTAAAGTTTTTACACGACCATCCAGCTGTAAAACATAAAAATAAATTGTAGAGTTCAGTAACTACAACATTCCTATATAAAAAACTAACAAAGAATTATATGATACAATAAAAGAATACAGGACTATAGGAATATGGTATACACATGCTAATAGAAGAAAATCCAAAACATTTTTATCAATAACTAAAGTTGTATATGAAATATACGGACAGTATACACACACAAGACCTCCAAGCCTCCTAACACCCAAGAAGAGACCCCAAAGCCTCACATATACAAGAGAACACAAAGCACAAACAAAACCAAACTGAAATTAAGACCAACCTAAAAGTGAAACCTAACAAAAGACAGATGGAAGAAAACCCACTGCCCACCCCTGATACACCAACAGATCCTCAAAAACAGAGACCTTATTTTAACAAACCTAACATCCATGGACCACCACCACATCCCAAAAAAATCCATCAATCCAACCTCCTACCCCTCGAAAGAAAAACAAAAAAAAGAATGAAATAGCCACCCTCATTAACTGGGTGTGGTTCTAGGAGTGTTGAATCCACCAAATCCATGACCCTTTCTTGATAGTCAACAGTTAAAATAGGATTTTATTGTTATCAAAAAGATGGATAGTAGAGTACAAATACAAACATACAAAAGCTGATCATGACAGTCATGTAAAATTCTTTACAAAACATCCCCAGGTCTGGGAGTTCCCTATAGATTCTCTCTTGTAAGTCTGCCAAACTGTTAGCATCCCTAAGAACCCACCTGAATGAGCAGTTTCAGCTACAGGCCAGTGCTCTTACTTCTCTAACTAGAAACCTGAACACCAAAGGAATCTCTTCCGCTGAACTCTCTTTTTTTATGTATTTTATTTTATTTTAATTTGATTGGTAGTCTCTTCCCCTGATTTTATCCCATAGATAACAACTTGACAGTCACCTCCAACGAGCATATATGTCCTGCCAGTCATGAATGCAAATTTCAAGCCCTGAACGAGAGCTAACAAATTTTCATTTGAAGAATTGCCAAAACCCACTGGCCCCTAGAAATTAATTTGTTTCGCTTATCATCTCTAACAGTTCCCCCTATGCTTGATATTGCAACTACCAAGGTTGAATTTCCTTGTACTTGTTTCAAGAGCTCTCTGTTGCACAATTCTTCGCTGTCTTCTAATGGAGAGTCCAGCAATGGCCTGCAGCCGCAGAATAGGTCATCCATTGTAATTCCCTTGAATTCTTCACATCTAAGCCCAATGTGCAATTCTGCCTAGAGCGACATTATAGGACATACATGAATACATACTTCACAAGCAATGCATTGAACAAATTCAAAGTGGATTCAACAACAGAAACACTCTGATGTGATTAATTTTTCATTGGGATTGTTGTTAGAGTTGTTAGCCTTTTTTTTTCTGCTTTCTTTTATTATTAGTCTATGCTGCAGGGGTATCTATGTAATTCTTTCTTTTCGTTTTTTTCAAAGAATAAATGAAAATTCATTAAACAAAAAAAGAAATTACAACCCAATAGATGACAAGATGGCACCTCATTACACTCATCAGAACAAAACCTGATTGCAAGCAAAAACTAAACCAAATTACATCAACTGAATTCAAGAACATTCCATAAATATTCCCCAACTCTAAACTGCTGATTTGAACAAAAACTGGTAGCACCCAAATCCAAACCGCTACCGCTACCGGCTTCCTGCTGGTAGCACCCAAATCCAAACTAAACTAATAGAGTTTCAATGTTTTCTGATTGTCTTCAAAGAGTCTGCTGTTTCCTTCTTTCCCTTGGACCCAACAACATACTGCAAAGGAAATGATTTTCTTCTTTTTTTATCCTTTCCCCTTCTGTGTTTAGCCCATAGACCTCTGTTACACCCCATAACCAGTCCTCATTCACTTCCTTCAGGCATACTAAAATTGCAGACTTACCACCTTTTCGCCAACCTTTCTAAATGCCCCTAAATCCCAGGATGAAATTAACCCACCTGACAGCCCTTCAAGCCTCCAGTTCCAACCAATACCCCATGTTCCATAGTTTTCAAGGTGCCAAGGCGAGGCTAGGCGACTGGAGGCGCCTAGTCGCCTAGGCGATGGATTTTTTTATGCTAAAAAATAGATCCTAGAGTAGTTCCCTAGGTACCATAACCATATTTCTTTAATAATTATTCATGGTTTTCATAAGAAAAGTACAAATTTCATATTAAAGTATAGAAAATCAACATATTCATGAAAAGAAAAGGAAGAAGGAAAATAAAATTCAAAAAATATAGGGGCTGAACCCTTATTTTTGTTATAGGAAAAGAAGAAAATAAAAAGTATTGGTGGTAGTAGTAGTAGTAGTAGTAGAAGTAGAAGAAGAAGAAGAAGAAGAAGAAGAATATATGGAAGAGGAAAATGTGCTGATTAGATAAAATTTTTAGTTCTTCCTTACTTATTGGTTCAGGTTTTTAAGTCTTTGAGGGTTCAATACAGCATTTAGCAATGTTTGTGTTGATTAAACCCTAATAAACAAGAAAATAATGAAAAGAAATTAGTATATAAACACACAAAATGATTATTTTAGTTTAATAATGTCTATTTTATAATTATAATCTCAAAAAAGAATGAATAAAAAAGTATTTTATAGTAGGAAGTAGAAAACTGTTAGGCGATTGGGCGAGGCAGGCCTCAAAGGGCGCCTTGTCGCCTAGGCGTCACCTTGACAACTATGCCATGTTCCTACCCCATATCTCTTTCTTCTGACCAACATTAAAATCTTCAGATTTGTTTCCTGTAGCCAAATCACTCTGGACGAAGTCTCCTGCACATAATTCTTTCTTTTTATTGTAATGCTGTCCATACCCGCCAACCCAAGTTTTTCGAGCCTTCCAATCATTCTCTTCTCTTTTCTCCTCTTCTCTTCTTCTTCCTTCCTCCTAATCTTCTCTTTTACAGATTTAGAGTGAAAACAGGGATATTGAACAAATACAGATAAATGGTTTGTGTGGTATAAGGTAATCATAAAACTTTGACCAATATACCTTGCAACTTATACTGTTTGTTGACCATAATTCATGAACCCAGTTACCAAATATAGCATATCATGAATATCTATGACTAACAGAATTTTCCCCGCTCAAAATTCTTAGCTACCAACTTGGACTCACATCACCATCCCACAAAGAGGCAACAACCCAACTCTCTCTCTCTTTTACCCGAAGTGCCGCTAAGACAAGTCTCTCTGTAAGACAAGGATAGAAGAACTGAAGAATGCTACTCACTAAAAGCTACTACAGACATTGCCATTGTTTTCAACCTCCCTTTCACCTGCACAAAGCATCGCCATCTCCCAACCCGACCCCCTCCAAACACAGTATCTATAACCAGCTTTTGTCAGAAATTATTTTTGTTCATTATCATTATTTGTTATTAGTGCCTGTGGTAAGGGAGAACCGGTTAAGAGTACCCACAAAACTAGAATTTACTTTATGCTATACATTTAAAATCGTAATATCACAATATGACATTTTGACCACACAGGCACACACAACGTTATTTCATGTTTTTGCTGATTAGATGACCACCTCCCACAGCTGCAAACCAGTCCAGACTAATAGCAGAAAAATTTGCAGTCAGGAGCCTAAACTGGGAGACAGGGATAGAGTGCAATTATAGGTTGCTCAGTGTAGAAGGGTAATAGAAGGTTGTTACCAAGGTTCTAAATATCGATACAATCTGATACACCAGATGGGGCGTATGGACTTTGTATCAGGGCGCTTTTTAAATTTTTTTTTTCAAACCTGTTCAGGGGAGGGGGTTTGGTATAAGGCTTATCTACCCCATGAAACAGGTCAAACCCCAAAATACCTATTAGTTCACGTATTGGTGACCCACCGATACATTGTGAAATTTTAATCCCTGGTTGTTATCTGGATTTCATTAATGGTGTGAAGCTTTAATGACTGGGAGATTGGTGATTTTGGCTGGACTTGTGGTGTGATAACAGGGCACTCATGGACTTATTTCCTTTCTTATTTCTGATAGCCCAAAAACAAGGAAGCCACTGCAAAAGATCAATAATGATATGATAAAAGGTAATGTAGTGTGGTCTCCTACATTAAGGAGACCCTTTTTTAAATGACTAAGAGATCAGTGAGTTTGCTGACCAATTAGCCTTGCCAAGTTCCTGAAAGCCTACACCTAACAAGGAAGACAGTCAAGAATGGTGTTGGGACAAATCTGCCAAAGTTTACAGTCAAATCATCTTTCCACAGCCTTAATCCAGAAACAGCAGGGAATTTTCCACACAAGGTAATCCGGTCACCTTTGCGCCATCTTTTATGGTGTAGACAGAAGCATTAAAACAAGTGCCTTTCAAGGGTTTTTTTTTTTTTGGAGAAAAGGTAAAGTAGAATTTTATTAATAGAACAGCAAATTACAACAGAAGCCCCCAAAGACAGGTGCCTTTCAAGGTTTAACTGATCTCAAGAGGTCTGCCCATTCTTGCTCCTAGGTGCAAATTTTGCAATGAATAGGTGGAGACAAGAAATTACCTGTTTCTGCATTGTCCACCCAAATCAAGCTTGTTTTCTTATTTTTTTGTGGCCTGGAGAACTATAAGTGGTGCATCCCAAGAATATAGTGGATCTTTTGGCTGAACGGTACATGAGAGGTCTTAATGATCAAGGAAAAGTACTATCATACTATGGAGAGCAATCCCACTGGTAATTATTTGGGTAATTTGAGGGGAAAGAAGCGAGAGAGTGTTTCAGAACAAGGCTGCAAATGGGGACCAGATCAAGAAAAAGGGCAATGGTGAGACTTTTTTCTTGGCTGACAGCACATAAATTCTAATACACCATGTGCAGTTTATTTCCTTATCATGATATTATTTTACATAGATTCGAAAGAACTACAGACATGGATACTATTTTGTAGAGGCCATAATGTTGAACAAAATGCCAAAGGTTCAAATCTGAGAACAGCCACCTTGTAGGCTGGCAAGCATGAGAACATAGGTTCAAATCCGAGAACAGACACATTGTGAAAACAAAATGCCAAAGGTTAGGACCATATATAGTCTAACCCCTTCCAAGACCCTAGATAGCTGGGACCAAGATTGGATAATAGCCTTTTACATTGACACCATTTTGTGAAAGTAATTCCTTAACTATGCTTTCTTTTAAGGCTTTATTGCCGAAACAATAAGATCCAACAGCAACAAGACGAAACAAGGAAAGAAGAGAGAAAAAAAAAAAAGATATTTCTTTTTCCTGCAATTACTCTCTTGCATTAAATAGCTTCCCCCTCCCCCCATTTTTCCCTTTTGTTATTCATTATTAATTTTTTATTAGGATTTTTCGCATGCAATTCTTCTGTTAAATACTTATTGTATTATAATTTTGCATTTGAAATAATTGAAATTAGTAGATTTAAAATCAATATTATCTTTTAGATATGATGATTTGCCAAATTTTGAGATGAAATTCAATGTTACTTGGTAAAGAAGATGTTTATTTTTTTCAATTTATATGTTCGACAAGTAAAGCAATTCAAACCAAGAACAGCCTGGAAGAAGACCATTATACCCATTTTGCCTAGAGAAGGAGCTTTTAATTGGGATGTTTACATGAGAAAGTTAACACTTGTGAGTTGCTAAAGAAAAGGAAACTTTTTTTCCTGCTTATCTCCTCATTAGTTTGTTCTCTGAAAAGTAAATGGTGAATTTTGTTTTCACTTACTAATCTCCTGTCCATTTGCTAATAGCATTTGGGATTGGTGTCTTGCTTGATTTGGATTCTAGTGGAACTCTCCAGCCAACATGTCAAGCTTTTTTGATCCCACCTCATTTGCTTAAACGAATAAGAGGGGAAGGATCATATAGAGAACTCTAGGGGATGCATTAACTTGGACAATTTGGGAAGAGAGAAATACGAGAACTTTCAAAGAAAGATAGAGTAAGGAGGCAATAATCGAATGTATAACCATAAGAGTGGCTCATTGGCTAAAATTTCTTGAGAAGTTTTCAGTTTTCTCAGTGGCTGATATCATTAGGAACTGAAAGGAAGTGGTAACACATTGTCAAGGAAAATTTTGGTCGATGGGGAATGGGCACCACCGGTGATTGATGGGTTCACAAAGCTCAATTTTGATGGGAGTGGTAGAGAGAACTCAGGCCCTTAAGGTGTGGGAGGAGTTTTCAGAAATGGGTCAGGTCATGTTCTGGCACTTTACTCAAGTCTGATTGTCATCAGTGACTCATTAAAGGCAGAAATAATGAAAATAATGGCGGGAGTAAATAGAGCAAAGGAGCTAAATGTGCATAAACTGATCATTGAAGGAGACTTACAATTGGCAATCAAATGGAAACAGAACAATGAAAATGCTTTATGAGCATACAAAAAATGATTCAAAAATTCAAATGGCGAGACAGGAATATGGATGTAATACTTCAATCGGTGCAAAGGACAGCTAATAGCATGGCCAATTCCTTAGCAAAACAAGGGGTGGAAGGGGACCAAATGTTTTGGGCACAGTGTATAGTGGCATTGGAGATAAGATGTTTTATCTCCAATGCGATTGTACATTTGTTTACACATTGATCTAATTTAATGAAAGTTGCAGTTATTGATCAAAAAACAAAAGACTGTTATGTTCAATTTTGAGAATGCTGTCTCAAATTAAAACAGAAAAAGAAAACCTGCATATTTTGCATTTACTTAAATATGAAAAGAATTGAATTAAATGGATAAGAAATTAAGTCCACATAGTTAGAATACAGAAAGAGCAACTAAAACAAAGAAAAGTAGTAGAACACATCTACCATTTCTGGGAAACAGGTCAATTGTTCCACTTTGGTCACAGAGACCCCAGCTTCTTCTAAAGCAGATGCAGTTCCTCCAGTTGAAACAATAGTATACCTGCATTAACCCATAAAACTTAACAAACAAAACAAAGAAACTTATGCCAAAAGGGACGTTAAGTGACCAACCAAACATGGAGATGAACTATAACCAGGATATCCTGCAACGATGACTCCTTAGCTATGTAAGGACACTCCATTTTCTTGAAAACATTCTCTCTTTTTTATCTTTTGTTGCTTTGATACCAGAGTGAAGTCCATTGAACAGAGGCAGATTGCAGAGCACTTTGTTGGAACATAAGTTTATTCAAAGCCAAATCTTAATTAATTAATGTATAGCTTGCAGCTATTTATTGTGATATCATCGCACTATTGATATAGTTTATCTATTTATCATTTCACCAAAATGAATAATTTCTCTACAACATAATTGACCAAGGCTAGAATCAAAGGGTGTCCATGGAGCATCAATCAAAAACAAAGGGTTATCCATGGAGCCCTTAAATCGCAAAAGGACAAAACATAACACCTCATCTACAAGATAATCGGATGTTATATTTTGTTCATTTTGACTTGAGGACTTTGTGATGGACAAGGATCATAAAATTAGCATTGCTCTTACAACCTTATGGAAGCTAAGCTATTTAAAACATATCCCTTGATGTATTGAATCAACAACACAGTCTAGGTGAATTAAGGTTGACAGAAATAGTGTTACACATCTATGTCCCAATACATGTCGACTACTAGTTATAAGCAAAAGGCAGCCCAGTGCACAAGGCTCCCACCAATGCAGGATCTGGGGAGGGACAGGTGTACGCAACCTTAACCCTGCAAATAAGTAGCTTATAAATATTGTTTGCCAAGCATGCATGATTATAAAATCAGAATTTAAGGTGATGTGAGAAACAAAGAGCCCGTTTGGACCATTTGGTTCATAGTCGGAATCAGAATGGTCTATTCCCCTCACCTGTTTGGTACTTTGGTTAGATGGGATTATGGGAATCTGAATTGGCTGGAATGGAATTCTCATTCCCAAGAGAGGGGGAGGGAATGGCCATTCCCTCAAATGGGGGGACATTCCGATTCTGCCCAACCAAACAGTTGGAAAAAGAATGTGTCATTCCAATTCCAATTTCGGGGCCCTATTCCCACGAACCAAACGGACCCACAAAAGGTGTGATATATAACACCAATGAAATAGCAACTTTCATTCTACAAAGAGTATAGGGTAAGCATTCTAAAAGAAGTGCATCTAAACATTAATTAAAAAAACAAAGGGATTGCAAACTCACCCTAATGCTTGAAGTCCACTACCAAGGGATGCCAGATCCCCCTTATCTGACAATGAAATCAGAACTTGCTTCTTTCCTATTAATAAGACATGAAATAAATGTTGCAGTAGTTGCATGAAAAAGTAAAGCAGTTAACCGAAAATAAAGTAAAGAAAATAAATTTTGTCCAAATACATTCTATAGCTAACTATCCTAAGTTAAAAGATGAAAAATGATAATGATGTAATTTCAACAAACAATTAGCAATTCCAACGGCATCTTATAAGAAAATGCAGGAGCAGTCATACACTGAAGTCAGAAACAGTTCAAATAGAAAGAATTACTAAGGTTATGCTGAGGTGACAAATCGCCCATGAAGGGTTGCCTCTCTTAAACACCTAGTTACATGGCACTACATTTTTTTATACTCTCTATTTTTTTATATCATAAGGAACCATTACTTGGTGAAATGGTAAAACCTCAGGCCGGAAAGTGTGAGAACACAGGTTTGTGTCTGAGGGTGGCCAACTTGTGCAAAAACATGCCAAAGGTTAGGACCGTACCCAGTCTGCCCCTCCTGAGACCCCAAATAGCTGGGCCTGGGACCAACATTGGGCAATGGCCTTTTATTTTTTGAGATTATAGTAATAGACATTGTTTTTTGAAAAAGATAGTAACTTTATTAATGAACCAGGAGGTACATAAGAAGATGTACACAGAAAGACAGAAACTACAATTAAAAGGCTAAGTAGGAAGAAAACCATCACTAAACAAGAAATCCCTGTAAGCACCAGCTTTTGCTAGGCCATCCGCATCAGAGTTTAGCTCCCTAGGGATCCAACCCAACTGTGCATTTAAGTTAGAGAGGATATCTCTAGCTTCAGCCAAGAAATGAGCTAAAGCCCATTGACCACTGCCTGGGTCAGCTAACCACTTGATGGTATTTGCCGAATCTCCTTATATGAGAATGTTCTGATAGCCCAGATCTCTTGCAATCCTGATTCCAGTTAGTGCTGCCATGATTTTAGCCTTTATTGAAGAGGCTATCCCAATCAGTCCACTGAAAACCCAATTAACTGTACCATCTCTTCTTCTAAAAATTCCACCAATTCCTGCTGCACCTGGATTTTTTTTTTTTGTTAAATGATTAAAATTTTAATCAATAAAATCAATAGGATATTACAATACAGCCTTCCCAAAGGAGGGGCACGAGTTGGTACCTCTCCACAATAGCAACAATATACTACCTCAGACTAGTAACAAAAAATTTACAAAGCTGCCCAGAATAACTGTTCCCTTGATACCCCTTGTTTAGCTAGCCCATCCGCTATGGTGTTAGCTGTTCTACCCAAGGTTCAAAACATCGATACGCCTGATACGCCGGTAGGGGCGTATCGGGCGTTTCGATACTTGTTTTTTTACCTTTTTTTTTCAAAACTGGTTCAGGGGAGCCGATATAGGACCCCTCCATCCCCTGAACCGGTCAAACCCCCGATACACCCACTGTAGAGGCGTATCGGAAGGGTCCTGGAACGATACGTATCGGACGATACGGGCCGATACGTAACGATACTTTGAACCTTGGTTCTACCCACCCACTGAAAAATAACATTCATGTTCCTTGAGAACCATTTAGCTTTCCTCATAATACCCCTGTAGCACCAGATCACTGAATCTGGATTTTTTAGCCAACCCACAACAACTTTGGAGTCTCCTTCAATAATCAAATTCTGAACTCCTAACTGATCCGCAACCTGAATGCCTTGTACTGCCGCTAGGAGCTCAGCTCTGATAGAGTCTCCTATACCCACAGAGCCTGAGAACAAAGCTGGAATGTTACTATCTTTATCTCTCAGCATCCCACCAATCCCTGAAGGCCCCGGATTTCCTTGGCTGCTACCATCAAAGTTCAGCTTTGTCAAGTCTTCTAAAGGGGGTACCCACACATCTAGTACCCTTTTCTTTCTGTTACTGCTGCTAGCCACAGCCCTCCAGTTCCTCCACATGTCATCAAAATAGTATGATTTGAAGGAATCTAATGATCTCAGCCAGTGGATTGCCCTGGTCAAAATACAATCCTTTACATTCTGAACATTTCTCTCCTTCTCTTGGAATATCCTCGCATTTCTTTCTTCCCAAATTGTCCACAGAGCAGCAGCCCTAATGGTTCTCCACATTGTTTTACCAGTTTTTGGGGGCCACACAAAGAAGGAAGGATCAAAGATTTGATCTATGGCTGTGGTCATATTCCATCTGCAACCAAACAAAGCAAAGACCCAACCCCAAATAGCATCAGAAAAGGGACAAGTTAAAAGTAAGTGAGAGCAATCCTCACCATTAGCCCTGCAAAGTACACACCAATTAGGAGACAAACACATAGAGGGTCTTCTCTTTTGCAGTAGATCTGAAGTGTTGATTTTCCTATAGAAAACCTCCCAGCAGAACATAGTAATTTTAGGAGGTACAGGTTTAGACCAAATCTCCTTAGCTGGGAACCCCACTTGTCCTGAGGGAGAGCAAAGGGACTTGAAAAAGGAAGCACATGTGAAGTAACCGTTTGGGTTTGGAGACCAAAGTCTCACATCAGAACTGGAAAGATTATCTCCCCTTCTGCACTTCCATCAAAGTACATGGTTATCTCCCCTTCTGCAACAGAAGAGTGGGGGAGGGGGTGATTAAGGATTGAAGTTTAGAAAACAAGAAGTTTGCAGCATTTCTTTGAAGATCAGAAAAGGAAACTCCTTTAAAAAACTCTGAGTTGGAAGTCCAAAGGCAACTTCTATAGGAAATGATAGACAAGAGCTCCTCATAGTTTCTTTTTCTGTTGTTGAAAATGTGGTTATTTCTCTCTTCCTAGATGCTCCAAAGGATAGCATGTGCTACAGAATCATAGAGTCCTTCCTCTTTTGCTTAACCCTCTTGTTGTCCATTGTCTAATACAGTCTATCACATGTTCAAGGAAAGTCAAACTATAATTGAACAGATTGAGAAAGAAAAACCAGAATTTTCTAGTTTTGTCACAGTGGATCAGAATATGATTGGCTGATTCCCCAGCTTTTAAGCAAAAACAGAATACGTGTGGGGATAAATAGGACCTTCCATGGTTCTTTTTCTGGAGGAGATCAGAAGTGCTGACCTTCTTCAGACTAGCTTCCAACACACAAACACACACAACAAAAAAAAACTCTGGATGGAATGCGTGTGCACCAAACTGTCTTGAAAGGGAAATGTACAGTTGTATGTTCTTCCTTAATTAGAGCCCTGAAGCAGGACTTAGTCAAAAACTTACCTACTGGGTGCACGGTCCAGACTCGAGTGTCGGGGGTATTTGGGGAGAGGTACACTTCTCTAAGAGTGTATAAGAATCTAGATATTTCATCAAGTTCATTTTCTCTCAAAGGTCTTCTAAAGTCTAGGTTCCAGTTGAAATGAGATTGATTTAAGGATAAAACAAAGGAAATGGGAGCTTCTTTGTTTTGAGTAAGGCTGTAGAGGCGAGGAAAGGATGCAGCCAAGGTGAGTCACCCCACCAAACATCAGTCCAGAATTTTATTTTATCCCCATTTCCCGCTTTATACCTGATATAGGAAATGAAAATTTGGTAGGTTGAGAGTATACCTTTCCAAGGGATTATGTCCTTGATCCGGTTCAAGTGCAAACTGCAATCCCAACCATTGGCGTGCTTCCCATACTTGCTGGTGATGATCTCAGTTCATAGGGTATTCAGTTCCTGAGGATATCTCCACAACCATTTACTTAGAAGAGCTGTGTTTTTTTCTCTCAAATGACCTATTCCCAAGCCTCCATCCTCCTTAGATTTGCACACCTAGGACCAATTCACAAGATGAGATCCCTTTCCCCACTTCCTTCCTACAAAAAATTTCTTTAAAGCTTTTCAAGCCGGTTGGCAATTTTGGTTGGCATTCGAAAGGTCGAGAGATAGTATGTGGGCAGGTTTGCCAAAGAAGCTTTAATGAGGGTGAGTCTCCCACCTTTGGACAAGTAATCTCTTTTCCACGTGGCCAATTTTTTTCACACTTTTCTATCACTGGGTCCCAAAAACTTTGGGCCTTCAGATTCCCTCCAAGAGGCATTCCAAGATAGGAGAATGGAATACTTTCAACTTTACAGCCCAAAATTTCCTTAAATCTGTTTAGGGACTGAGCATTTACTATGTTCAGCCCCGCAATACTGCTCTTAGAGAAGTTAACACTAAGCCCCAAAATCCATTCAAAGCAGATTATGACCCTTTTCATATTAATAACATTGTCTTCTTCAGCCTCTAAAAACAGCATAATGTCGTATGCAAATTGAAGGTGCTTAATCTGAATTGAATCTCTGCCAACTTCGTAACCTCTCACCAACCCTATCAGATTTGCCTTCTTCACCAATTGACAAAATATTTCCATTACGAGAGTAAAGAGTAAGGGAGAGAGGGGGCAACCTTGTCTTAATCCCCTACTAGCCTTGAAGTAACCTTTAGGTTGCCCATTGATTAGGACTGAAAACCACATGGATTTAATACATCCCTCCACCCACTGAATTCATCTTCTTCCAAATCCCATTAGCCTCATGATTTCTGTTAAACACTCCCAATCCACTTTGCTGTACGCTTTTTCTAAGTCTAGCTTTACAATCACTCCCGGCTTGCCGTTCATTTTCCTCTCTTCAACACATTCATTTTCTATCAGGATATAGTAATAGACATTGTTAAACTAAATTATCATGTTGTCCGTTTATATACTAGTTTATTTTTATTATTTTCTTATTTGTTAGAGTTCAACCAATACACATGTTTGTGTATGCTGTCTTGAACCCTCAAAGACTTCAAAACATGAACCAATAAGCAAGCAAGAACTTGAAATTTTCTCCAATTTGCTATGGAACCTAGGAAATTACCCTAGTATTCATGGTTTTTATTTAAAAAAAGAAAACCATCGCCTAGGTGACTAGGCAACAAGGCACCCCTTTTTCAGATAGCCTCACCTTGGCACCTTGAAAACTATGAGCACAACAATGTTCCGAACTTAAAGACTAAACAATTGATTGATCTTACAAAAAGGAAAAAAATAAAAATAAAAAAAAAAGAACCTTACCTAGCAAAAATAATATGAATAGATTTTCCTATGACTACAACATGGGGAGGTTGAATATAAAATGAATATTTACACTTTACACTTGCAATATAAAACACAATAGAAGTGAAAGCATGACAATTAACTTGCAGCTCCATTTTCTGAATATTGGACGACCCAACATTGTGGGCATTTGCTTTCTTTCACCCCCACCGTTAAAAAAAAATAGAAATAGAAGAAATAATGCCTTCCATTGCAAAACTATGAACCAAATGGCCAAAAAATAACCATCCATTTCATGTCACAAATAGAACTTATTGAAGATGCAGGAAGGATATTTGAAAAAAAAAAAAAAAAAGCAGGGAGAAAGCAAGGTACCAGAACTCGAAGAGTAAGATTCTGACTTCGAGACCAATACGGTATCCGACTCGGCCATCGCACTGATTGGTCTGATATTAGAGCGCAAAGACGAAGAAGGAATACGAAAGAAAACTACTGAAGGCTGAATGCAAATGAGAACAAAAAGAACAAATTTTTAGATGGCCAACATTAAGAGTTTCGAGAAAGAAAGGAAAAAAAAAAAAAAGTTATCTTTCGAAAAGAAGCACATATATTTAGATAGACACCAAGTCTATTTTCTTATTCTGAACCTGCTGAGAGAAGTGGCTGGGCTGTAGAGAGTTGCAGAGTTGGACAACGCAAAGAGCTCGATTGTAGGCAGCGTTCGCGGTGTTAGCGGCGGTGGTGGTGGTGGTGGCGGCAAGACCCAACATCTTTTCTTTACTTATTGTTTTCTTTTCGATCCCCACATGCTCTACTTATGCGAGTTATGTCAAGGTTGTCGGGCCTTCTGACAATCGTTGCCACATATCATCGTCGGGACCGTATCTCCTGTACTTGCACAACACACTCCATTATCGGCAGTGTTCGTAGAACCGGACCGAGAATCGAAACGGAAAAGGGAGAGAACCACGACATAGAGGTTCGACCTTGGTCAAATAGAGGGGTGAACCTGATAATCTATATCTATAGTACTTTAAAAAGTACAATAGTCTCAAGAATATTTATGAAATTTTTAAATGAGAAAAATTACTTTTTTATATTTAAATTTATTGATAAAAAATGAGAGTAAATAGGATAATTGGTATTGATATTAAATGAGTTGAAAAGAGGTAATTTTAAGATATTTAATACATTCAATTCTCTCATTAAATCTAACATTTAAGATATTAATTTGCATTCAATCATATATTTAAGGTTTTTTTGTTTTTTTTCATCATTAAATTCTATAATTAAATCCATAGATAATAAATTAATAATTTCAATAATATAAAAATTTACACTTTTAATATTTATCTCCAAAAAATAGTGTTTTCATCTAGGTGGTGGTAAGAAATTAAACCATTTGGGCCAAATGGGCCAATCCATGTTGGCACAATTAAATAATAAAATACACAAAATATAGAAATTAAAAAAAATGGAAACATTTTTAACATCATATATTTGATATATTAAACAATAATCAATATGATAAACAATGTTTTCAAAATCGACCCGCTTTTGCCTTCAGGTCATAGGTCACCGGTTCGACTATCAAGGTCAAACCGCTCTACATTATTATGTGTGTGTGTATGTGGTCAAATGAAAGGGTGAACTATGATAATAATAAATTGAAGAGCTAAATACTTAAACTACCCCTATGATTTAGCAAATAGACAATAACTTACCTTACTGTTTTCATAATCACTTAAAGTGCCCCTATAATTTCTACAATAGATAACCGTTAGGAACCGGTAATGGAAAGATTGAAAAGACTACTTTACCCTTGATTTTTCTTCAAATTTTCAAAATGTAGCATTATGGAGGAAACTGACCAAATGTCTATTAAGTGGAACATACCAACTTATAATGTTTTCTTATGAAATGTTAATACATGAAAACCGAGGCCTAAACTTGTTTCAAAAACTAGTTTATGGAGCCAGTAAACCACATGAATAAAACATCGGCAAAATAGACACAAAAATGGGACCCATGAGGAGGGAAAACAGTTTCTAGATTGATGTGGTTATGAAATTCCAATTCTTGAACCAAAGGGGATTTTTTATTTTGAAAATGGAGAATTTCTTAAACTACCTCTACTGTTTAGTTAATTGACTAACTATACCCTTACTGTTTATGTATTGTCTCAAAGTACCATACAATTGACATCATCGTTTAACGAATAACAAAATGTCAAATTTATCCTCTACTAATCCTCAAATTTTCAAAATAAACCCAGCTGATAAAAAATTTGAGAGAGAGAGGAAATCGCTGCTCCATCTCTGTCTCTGTCTTTGCCTCTGCCTCTGTTTTTCGTCTCATGTCTCTGTCTTCATCTTGGTTTTCCGTCAATATGGAATCACTCACTGGATTAACGACTCATCAATCCCATAACTAGATAACCAATTAAAACTTCGTTCTGCCTTCGGCCCTCTCATACGATCAAGCACAATGCCCTTTGTTGTATTATTGTACTGCCCTTTGTTCGTCAACTGAAACATTTGGACACATGTTTCCACTGCAGCTATAGGTAACGGGTTAGTTGTCGGCTACCAGATGGCATCTACATAATCAATGTCAAAATTGGGTTCCTTGGGCTTTTGATAGACATCACTGTCATCGGCAGCGTGGACGAGAAGAAAGGCAACCGAAGATTCTCCTACAACGACAAGCTCAGAAATGCCAACAGTCCTTTGTTCCTTTCAAATCGGGTGGTATAGTTTGCAACATTCACGATAGATGTCGGTGATGCCAACTGGTACCATGCTTGGTGACTGAAGTTTGTAACGGCAGCAACAGCCATGGTGGAGAAACAAGATAGTGCTCCCTTGTGCTTTCGCTCTCGTATAAGCAACTCTCGCGGTCAGTGGCCTCGGTGTTGGCAATGTAGGGAGATGAATCCATCAACGGAGGAAGCTATGTTGACAACAGAGACCCAACGTTAGGATAGAGGTTAGCTCCACAAGAAATACGATTCTTCCTCTCTCCATTACCGTTGCTCCCACCAACACCACCAGTCTTCTGGAACACCACGAGATCACCCGCTCATCCTATACGTTCATGGGGTGTCGCATGAATAATTGAATTAATTTACTAAATATAACCAAACAAAATATCCATATGAAATGATAGAAAATAAACAATCATCTATCTCTAAAAATCTCCTTGTCCTCGATAGAACACCAGAGTCTTCTTCTTGCCCACAAGTGGACACGTCTTTGAACTGTAGACCTCAATGTCCTTACCGGTGGCCTTCCAGTACCCAGCTTCCGTAGATCTATTTGTTCAAAGCCCAGTTGGATACTTTCGGTCCTAGATGCCGAAGAAGTACCACTCTTTCTCTCCCATATTCCCTTTCACTACAACATGTTCTTCAAAATCAGTGTGAAATTTTATTTATACAAGTACTAGAACTTGATGGGTAGTAGAAGATGATGTATTATACCAAGAAGCTCCCATGGCTTGCATTTGTTAAGTTCAGAAATGGCTCATCATGTAAAGTTGCTGTCCAAAACCTTCTTGATAAGGTAATATGTCAACAATACCACAAGCAACCTTGCTTCAAACAGTTAGGATTGAAGTGAGAGGTTGGATTTTCTTCCTAGATGATCTCTAAGATACGAAGCTCTCATTCTTAGTGTCATCTTCTACTTGAGCCACTTCCTCTTGGGGCTAATCTCCACTCCAGTGTCTGGGGTTGGCTTCACATCTCTTGGCGTCATTTCTGGCCCCTAAAACTGCTCCATCTCTTGGTTGCTATGAAGCAAAAGCAACCAAGATGTGATCTCTACGAGGATCAATGAGAAGCAAGATGTGATTTCTCTACCTCTCTCTCTCTATACAATCCTTCTTCTTCCTCTTCCTGCTCTTATTCTCCAACAACCACTTCTACTCCCTCTGTCTATGCAACTCCAGTTCGTCTTCTTCTCCTCCTCTGCTTCTCCTCCTATAGACTTCAATTGATTGAGGACTACAAGTTATTGCCTATGGACGCCCTAATCTTCAAAAGCTTGTTCTAATATGTGCCACTGAGACTGGGTTGGTGAGTATCACCGACGAGTGCCCAACATTGCAAGAATTGGAGTTGCATTAGTGCACAGATCTCTCATTGTGTGGGATCATCAACAAAGAATCGGCGGAGACCATAACAATGGTCGTACTAGTCCCGTTCACAGGTAGTTATTTTTACTTGATTTACAGAAGAGGGACAGAGGGTAATACTGGGTTTACAAAAATTGTATACATCATGTGGTGTCACATGTGTACGGATTTTGATGGAACATTAACAAATGTTAATGGTAGGGGTAGAGCTAGTCAATTGTTAGAAAACTTAGGGGTACTCTAAGACAATATGTAAATAGTAAGGGTAGAGTAGTCAATTAGCTAAACGGTAAGGGTAGTTTAAGTATTTGAAATTCAACAACATAAACGAATTTGAAAGCGGTATAAAAGGGTTTTGTAAGGGGAAAATCTATGATGCGGAAAATATATGATATGGGAAGAGTTTTGACCAATCAAAACCCACCCATGAATTTTGATAAATAATACCTTATTCGCTATCACGCTTATGATTCTAGTTTATTGGTCAATTGCTTTTCAGATATCATATCTTTTCCATATCATAGCCGAACCCGTTTGTAAGGTATCAACTTGAATAGAACACTAGTGGGCCATAGAAATGAGGAAAGAAATTAGAACCATATGCAGCTTCATAAACTCAATGCTAGCTTCACCTAATCAAGCTTGCTGAGATGTACACAACCAGTGGTTTTATGGAGATCTTCACTAAAGATAAATCCGCTCTTCTACAACCCTTCTCACTCCTTATATGTACTTATCATGTATGCAAACTCCTGGGATTCTCTTGCTTCCTCTTCTCCCAAGTTCGCAAATATACAATGCACCAAGTCTTCTCAGGAAAACAATAAAAAAATTTGCTCTGTGGCATGTCTAGTGCAATCAATGACAACTCTATTAGACATTCTAGAGTTTCACCAAAGAGATTGTTTTTAAACAATACCAAATCAATGAGAGCCATACACCCCTTGAGTGTGTTCTCAGTACTGGCAATTTATTCATCCTCATACAGCGGTAGTGTAATTAGAAAGAAAGATGATAGATATGGGATGAAATATTGGATTCTCGTATATGTAATTGAGACCCATGTAAATGTTTTTATATAATCAAGTAATTACAGTTGGACTTGAAGTAGGATACATCAGAGATAAAATAGAGTTCATCAAATATAAGAACAGATAACAAGGGATAGTAACAATCAGATAATAACACAAGATAATCCCATATAGAGCCCAACATGTTTGACACGTTTGGGACTCTATTCTCATATCGTTGTCTCTTACATGCCCCCACAAGTTGAACTGGTGTAAACACATTCAACTTGTCCCATAACAGGTGAAATCTCTGAGGAAGCAAGGATTTAGTAAAGACATCAACAAGTTGAATGTGGGTGTACGTGAGACTTGAACTCTAAGGAAGAAGTTTAGGTCCCCCCAAGTCCTTGATGGCAAAACTCTTTGAGAGAGAGAAGATGATAGACTCAATGTAAGAGGCACAACTCCCAATGATGATGATGTCATCAATGTAAATCAATATGTAAATAGTGGCCTGAGTTTAAGTGTAAAGGAATAGAGATGGATCACATGTAGCTACACGGAAGCCCAAGTGTAAGAGATGAGAATATAGTCGATAGAACCATGCCCGCAGGGCCTCTTTTAGTCCAAACAATGCCTTATCCAATTTGTAGACAAATTTAGGCCAAGAAGGGTCCACAAAACGAAGCGGTTGGGC